GGGGGGGTATGTAGCAATCATCCTGTATGTCCTTCTGTCCATGAACCTCATAAGTGCAACTCCTCCTAAACCATTTGTTGGATTTTATTTGTAACATTGCACAGTGAAAGTACATCATATGTCTATATGCATGAAGGAAGGAATTTGTGATTAGGGTATTATACTCTTTTGTAAACAAATTTCGAATAGCTAGATAAAATGAAGCCGGTGGTATATCTTTGTGAGCTTGCTCACAGTTTCTATAGTATTTATTCTACAACCATTCTGCTTGTTCTGGGTATGTTTTGTATTTCAAGATCTATCTTGGATTTTGTTATCACTATTTTTCCAAAAGTCGTTGCAAGGTCTTTCTCAAATTTAAAAATGAGGTACCTGCTGGTCTGTAATTGTGAGAAATTTGACAGTAAGTATCTAAATCTTTCAAGTTGTATTCATCATTTCTCAGAAAGTGTTTGAAAGAGCTTTTTCAAATTTCACAAGCTGGTTCCCCTTGGTCTTTACCTTTTGCATTTTCAGTTTTAAAACTGATCACAAGAACAAGATGACTGCCAGGCAGTTACCTTGGAATTTGCCAGTTAAAGTTTGGTTGCTATTTCTCACAAAAAGAGTACAGATCTACAGACATCTAAGGTTCTTTAGTTTCCTATTTTTCCTATTTCATTTTGAGCTTTAAGCGGCTTGGATCAGAAGAAAAATTAAGGCCGATAGAAGTCAAATCTTTCTTGTTCAATTTTTGAAACATTACTCTTCTATAACATAGGTCAAATAAAAACAGTGTGAAGTAAGCTAACATAGAAGTAATGAAGGTTTTATGATGGTGACTGTCAAGATCCTTCTGGTAAGCATGCTGGGTTGAACAAATTCTGATTAACCAGTAGACCTAGGGTGATGACACTTGGCCAGCAGCATGTTAGAATGAAGGGTTAGTTTGTAATGACTAATTGATCAACCTTTTCTGAATAACCAAGAGCTCTATAGTCATGATATTTTGCTTCTGGCATGCTGGGATCAAGGGCTTTCAAATTTGTTCAAATGAATATCTTTGATCTTCTTTAGAGATCCTATGAGTAAAAGAAGTTAAAATATTATGATAAAGATTCAGAGGGATCTCCAAACAAGGTTCCGTATTAATATGCAGAGTAATGTTATTTTGTCTATTTAAGTAAATAAACATTGACGACCATTTTGAAGATCAATTATGTCTAGGGGATTAACAGGTGAGTGATACAAGCCCATTTTGCCTCTTGTTACTTTTTTTCAAATGTAAAACAAAAGTTTAGTATCACATAAAACAAATGGGTTTAAGACTCTTTATTATAATATCATACTTACAGATGTATGGAAGCTCCTGAATTCCATTATCAGGATATCATTAATGAAGATGGCTGATGGTTGTGACTCGGCTGAGTCATGGAACTCCAGGCCATTTGTAGAGAGGAAGGAGGTTATGGACTGGCTAAAGGAGGTGTACACTACAAGACAAGCTACAGGAAACCCCCAGAATCATCGGTACAGAATCATCGGTATTCACGGGAAAAAAGGGGTAGGCAAGTCTTGCGTAATGCAGCAGTTTTTGCAGCAGATTCAACATGATACTTCAAGAAATGAAACAGTGCACGTTGAATCGTTTGACTTTGACAAAGTCAGAAGTTTCCAAAGCTTTTTAAATAGACTTTGTACTTTTTTCGGAGTTGAAATGCATAAATGGAGAAAAGAATCGGGCAATAATATTGATGACGATGAGGAGGAGGAGGAAGACTTTATTGAATGCATGAGTCAGATTGAGAGAAAAATGAAGGATAACCCTAGCAACAAGTTTATTGTCTTTCTTGACAACATGGAATGTGCCTGTGGCAAGGCTAAAACTGACGGGACGGCACCTGACATGTCTAAGGTATTTCTCTGGGACAAGATCTATAAAGAATTCATCCACAATCTTCTACCAAAGTGTCACAATTTATTGGTGTTCATAACGTCCACACAGACGGCTAGGTTTGCGGAGTTCGGCAGATATGCCTGTAAAATGGACTTGAAGGAAATGACTGAAGAAGAAGCAGAATGTCTGCTATGGAAGCAAGTTCAAACGGTCATAACAGAAAAAGGAAGTTTGTCCTCAATTGTTCGCTTGTGTGATGGTCTGCCACCAACTATCATAAAAGCAGGTATGTCAATCTAATATTAGATACAGACTGTAGAGGATGCCTCCATATATATTTGCGACAAGATTAGCAGGCTCCCATTTATTTCCTTCATTACTGGACAAAGTCCCCATCAAAATCATTAAACAAATATACTACCACCAGGCAGATTGCAATTTGTATCTTGTTTGACCTTTTAGAATTATTGCTGAAATAAAAGATAAGTAAAAGGTTGTTGGGTACACCAATATATTATCTTTGATAAACCTAGGACAAATGTGTTAAAGATGAAATATTGTCTACAGACTACTTGAGAGATGGACTTCCGAACTTGTAGTTTGAAAGTCACCAGAAAAAGGCTGAAGATGATTTTTTAATAGGAAGTTTTATTTGAAGATCATTAAAATAATCCACCCGTTATTAATTTATTCAAATTTACAATATTTCAGATTTATGTAGAACTGAGTTCTTACTTCCAGGTGCCATGCTTTGTGATGAAGAATACACACATGAAGAAATAGCTGATCTATTGAAAGACTTTAATAACAAGAGGGGTTTACATGGTGATGATCTGTTTCCCAAAGATGATCGCTATGGTAAGTTACAGTTAAGTAGTACATGCCTAGTTGATCCGCATATTCTAATGTTTAATATTAAACTGATGAATATTATATGTTTATTATTGACAGAACAGTGTGTTCTTTCAATATTAAAGTATTTCAAAGCAATCCAGGCATTAATTCAGTTGTTTTTAATAAATGAATCACCTGTGTCCATTTTTCTGTACTTCAGGAAACCGGCTACCTATTTCACTACTATGAAGTTTTTCAAGAATGATAACTCTTCCATGCAATTACTATGTGTATATGGTTTTATTATAAAATGTCAATCTTTAATCGTTTATAGATAATTCATTTTACACGATTTCAGCATTTATGAAATTGATAAACATTAATGCAATACTGATCTATGTCAGTATCATTTTTATTGACATTATATCGCAAAAAATTGTGTTTCATTTTTTTTTCAAAATTCACTCCTTTTTGCATAAATTTCCATTTAAAATCCTTAAAATTCTGACAACCTGTATATTTTTTTTTGTGGCAGAAAATTTTCTTTACTTCAAAGCAATATAACTACAAAATTTGAAGAAATTCAACTGAGAAATGGCGACATAATCCTATTACCTTAACACAGTATTAGTGTAAAGTATGTCCTCTATCTTAAGAGTCAAAATCATCTTACTTGTACTATACAGAGTAGCCTACACACCTTTTATTAATGAGCAGTTCTTCAGATCAGGTCATTGGGGATGGTTAGGTTTGGTTTATAGGGTGTGATGTCCTATCAATAGCTACCAAAGATCATTTAAGGTCATGGGGGAATCAGAGGAAGAGGATGAATATACTAGAATCGGCCAACCCATTCATATGATTGATTGTAAACACTTTTTTATTTTGGTGGTACTGGTGGTGGTGGGAGGGGTGGAGAATGATGGATTTACTGGAATCAGCCAAAACTTCATCTTTTTGTAAAATCCACCCATTCATTCCAAAACCTGTTATGCATGGTTAACTTGTTCATATTTGCAAAACAGAGACTTGGGGAAGAGCATTTTATGTGTATAGCATGTCATAAACCATGGTTATTAACCAGTGAAAGATATCGTTATATCACTAGCATTGTAGAACTGGTAGCTTTTTATTAACAGACTTCAGACATATTAGATTATATCANGTTACATACATTTACCATTAACTTACTCTCCTAGTTTAAGACTAGTACCAATATTATTTTCCTACACTTCTACATGTAGATGAGCAACTGAAGAAATTTATAAACCGCCTTTCTGATCAAAACAAGAGAAACCTGAAGTCTCTCGCTGAGATGATCAATACACAGGGACAAGTTGGAATTGAAGATGCTGCTTCAAAACTTAGTAAGTAGTTTTGGTTTTAGACATTAATCTATAGTTTGTTTAGTAGAAGTAATAAGACACTGTTTAAACATCCCCTAACAAAGGTGAGCAGACATTAACATTAATTGGTCATCTAAGACATAACTTTACCATATAAAGTGATAATTATGTCTCCTTCAAATAAATACAGGTTCACCTGATTCATCTTCAAGAGTTTTTCTGATAAATTCCTGTCAGGGACTTAACTACCAAAAGAAGGAAGTGTACTTTACACAAGACACCATGACCTTTATCTGTAGGTCAAAGGTGAAATAACCATCAATATACAAATTTCTAACAAGGGGAGAAATATTATTTTGTTCTAGTTATTCATAATATTATCTATAACAGGTAGTAACATCCATATTGTGATGTAAAATTATCAACAAGAACATTGAATATGGATTTATTGTGGAAAAACATGCAGTGTTTTTTTATCTCCCGCTTTCACCGAAACGGGGGATATTAATTTGGGTTTGTCCGTCTGTCTGTCTGTCTGTCTGTCTGTCTGTCTGTCTGTCACGCTTCGCTTCCGTGCAATAACTGCAACAAATGTTAACCGATTTTCCTCAAACTTGGTAACAGGGTTAAATGCATGAAAGGCTCAGACTTTATCTGGCGGAGTTAAGGCCCCTTAAATAACGGACAAACAACATTATCGGCTGTTTTGTTCATTAACTCTTGTAAATATTATCTGACTGTCTTCAAACTTAGTAACAGGGTTCAACCTGTACCCTAGGATGATGATATCTAACCAATAGCCCAGGGTGATGAATTCTAACAAATAGCCCAGGGTGATTCTATTTTACCAGTAGCCTAGGGTGATGAAATCTAACCAATAGCCCAGGTTGATGCTATTTAACCAGTAGCCCAGGGTGATGCTATTTAACCAGTAGCCCAGGTGATGCTATTTAACCAATAGCCTAGGGTGAGGATATCTAACCAATTTAGCCTAGGGTGATGATATCTTAGCAATAGTCCAGGGTGATGATATCTAACCAGTAGCCAAGGGTGATGCTATTTAACCAATAGCCCAGGGTGATGATATCTAACCAATAGCCCAGGGTGATGATATCTAACCAGTAGCCTAGGATGATGATATTTAACCAGTAGCCTAGGGTGATGACATTTAACCAGTAGCCTAGGGTGATGATATCTAACCAGTAGCCTAGGGCTATAATATATAACCAGTAACCTAGGTTGATGATATTTAACCAGTAGCCTAGGGTGATGATATTTAACCACTAGCCCAGGGTGATGATACTTAACCACTAGCCCAGGGCGATGATATTTAACCAATAGCCTAGGGTGATGATATTTAACCAATAGCCTAGGGTGATGATATTTAACCATTAGCCTAGGGTGATAATATCTAACCACTAGCCCAGGGTGATGATATTTAACCACTAGCCTAGGGTGATGATATTAAACTAATAGCCTAGGGTGATGATATTTAAGCACTAGCCTAGGGTGATGATATTTAACCACTAGCCCAGGGTGATAATATTTAACCAGTAGCCCAGGGTGATGATATTTAACCACTAGCCTAGGGTGATGATATTTAACAAATAGCCCAGGGTGATGATATTTAACCACTAGCCCAGGGTGATGATATTTAACCACTAGCCTAGGGTGATGATATTTAACCACTAGCCTAGGGTGATGATATTTAACCACTAGCCTAGGGTGATGATATTTAACCAATAGCCTAGGGTGATGATATTTAACCACTAGCCTAGGGTGATGATATTTAACCACTAGCCTAGGGTGATGATATTTAACCACTAGCCTAGGGTGATGATATTTAACCACTAGCCTAGGGTGATGATATTTAACCACTAGCCTAGGGTGATGATATTTAACCACTAGCCTAGGGTGATGATATTTAACCACTAGCCTAGGGTGATGATATTTAACCACTAGCCTAGGGTGATGATATTTAACCACTAGCCTAGGGTGATGATATTTAACCACTAGCCTAGGGTGATGATATTTAACCACTAGCCTAGGGTGATGATATTTAACCACTAGCCTAGGGTGATGATATTTAACCACTAGCCTAGGGTGATGATATTTAACCACTAGCCTAGGGTGATGATATTTAACCACTAGCCTAGGGTGATGATATTTAACCACTAGCCTAGGGTGATGATATTTAACCACTAGCCTAGGGTGATGATATTTAACCACTAGCCTAGGGTGATGATATTTAACCACTAGCCTAGGGTGATGATATTTAACCACTAGCCTAGGGTGATGATATTTAACCACTAGCCTAGGGTGATGATATTTAACCACTAGCCTAGGGTGATGATATTTAACCACTAGCCTAGGGTGATGATATTTAACCACTAGCCTAGGGTGATGATATTTAACCACTAGCCTAGGGTGATGATATTTAACCACTAGCCTAGGGTGATGATATTTAACCACTAGCCTAGGGTGATGATATTTAACCACTAGCCTAGGGTGATGATATTTAACCACTAGCCTAGGGTGATGATATTTAACCACTAGCCTAGGGTGATGATATTTAACCACTAGCCTAGGGTGATGATATTTAACCACTAGCCTAGGGTGATGATATTTAACCACTAGCCTAGGGTGATGATATTTAACCACTAGCCTAGGGTGATGATATTTAACCACTAGCCTAGGGTGATGATATTTAACCACTAGCCTAGGGTGATGATATTTAACCACTAGCCTAGGGTGATGATATTTAACCACTAGCCTAGGGTGATGATATTTAACCACTAGCCTAGGGTGATGATATTTAACCACTAGCCTAGGGTGATGATATTTAACCACTAGCCTAGGGTGATGATATTTAACCACTAGCCTAGGGTGATGATATTTAACCAATAGCCTAGGGTGATAATATTTAACCAGTAGCCCAGGGTGATGATATTTAACCAATAGCCTAGGGTGATGATATTAAACCAATAGCCCAGGGTGATGATATTTAACCACAAACCTAGGGTGATGATATTTAACCACTAGCCTATGGTGATGATATTTAACCACTAGCCTAGGGTGATGATATTTAACCACTAGCCCAGGGTGATGATATTTAACCAATAGCCTAGGGTGATGATATTAAACCAATAGCCCAGGGTGGTGATATTTAACCACAAACCTAGGGTGATGATATTTAACCAATATCCTAGGGGGATGATGTTTAAGCACTAGCCCAGGGTGATGATATTTAACCACTAGCCTAGGATGAAGATATTTAACCAATATCCTAGGGTGATGATGTTTAAGCACTAGCCCAGGGTGATGATATTTAACCACTAGCCCAGGGTGATGATGTTTAATCAGTCACATTCTGGAATGATGAGCTGTCATGTTTACCACTTCCAAATGGGGGGGATCAGAGGGTTACAAAATTCCAACAAGTTTTCTGAACTACCAATAGTTGAATTGTAGCTTACTGAAATCATGGGCTATTAAGTTTGTCCTAATATATGAACTTGAAAAACTGAAAGTTGAATGAGTAAAATGCGATGAAATTTTCCATGAAAGATCCATACAGAGAAGAGTAATGATGTATCAGAAATTGTTCAGTAAACAATGGTAAACAACAGATAAACACATCTGATATGGCTTATAAATTGTGTTGTAGAATTTGACCGGAACACTGCTGTGTTTAAGTTAAGATTCCTACTTCCACTGCGGTTCAGAGGGATGGTTGAGGTTGACACGAAAACTAGAAAAATCAGCATGAATAAGTTTTTTTGTCAGTTTGTCCTGAGCTGTGATATCAAAGGTAAGTGGCTATAGTCTGTGTGAGATACAGTCAGAAGGGAGTAGAAGTTACTTCTCTTGGCTAAAGGCAGTGTGAGATACAGTCAGAAGGGAGTAGAAGTTACCTCCCTTGGCTATAGTCTGTGTGAGATACAGTCAGAAGGGAGTAGAAGTTACCTCGCTTGGCTATAGTCTGTGTGAGATACAGCCAGAAGGGGGTAGACGTTACCTCCCTTGGCTATAGATGGTGTGAGATACAGTCAGAAGGGAGTAGAAGTTACCTCCCTTGGCTAAAGTCTGTGTGAGATACAGCCAGAAGGGAGTAGAAGTTACCTCCCTTGGCTATAGTCTGTGTGAGATACAGTCAGAAGGGAGTAGAAGTTACCTCCCTTGGCTATAGTCTGTGTGAGATACTGTCAGAAGGGAGTAGAAGTTACCTCGCTTGGCTATAGTCTCTGTGAGATACAGCCAGAAGGGGGTAGACGTTACCTCCCTTGGCTATAGATGGTGTGAGATACAGTCAGAAGGGAGTAGAAGTTACCTCCCTTGGCTAAAGTCTGTGTGAGATACAGCCAGAAGGGAGTAGAAGTTACCTCCCTTGGCTATAGTCTGTGTGAGATACAGTCAGAAGGGAGTAGAAGTTACCTCCCTTGGCTATAGTCCGTGTGAGATACAGCCAGAAGAGGGTAGACGTTACCTCCCTTGGCTATAGTCTGTGTGAGATACAGTCAGAAGGGAGTAGAAGTTACCTCCCTTGGCTATAGTCTGTGTCAGATACAGCCAGAAGGGAGTAGAAGCTACCTCCCTTGGCTATAGTCTGTGTGAGATATAGTCAGAAGGGAGTAGAAGTTACCTCCCTTGGCTATAGACTGTGAAATACAGTCAGAAGGGAGTAGAAGTTACCTCCCTTGGCTATAGTCTGTGTGAGATACAGTCAGAAGGGAGTAGAAGTTACCTCCCTTGGCTATAGACTGTGTGAGATACAGTCAGAAGAGAGTAGAAGTTACCTCCCTTGGATATAGTCTGTGAGATACAGTCAGAAGGGAGTAGAAGTTACCTCCCTTGGCTAAAGTCTGTGTGAGTTACAGTCAGAAGGGAGTAGAAGTTACCTCCCTTGGCTATAGACTGTGTGAAATGAAATACAGTCAGAAAGGAGTAGAAGTTACCTCCCTTGGCTATAGTCTGTGTGAGATACAGTCAGAAGGGAGTAGAAGTTACCTCCCTTGGACTGTGACGCCTTGAAGACAGCTGACTTTTAACATATTTTTTTAATAAATTTGTGTCAGGGCTGTAACTACCAAAAGAAGGTGAACAGTGTACTATATGAAAAAAAACATGACCTTTCTTTCTAGGTCACAGGTGAAACAGACCTACTGAGGACAGTATTTTGACATCATGTGATGACCTCATGCTTTTATCAACCTGAAGATTGACATAACAATTTACATTTCAAGAAATTACCTATTAGATCAGTACACTGATAAATAGTTAATTTCCTAATCTAACTATGCCATTGCTGTCCTCTGCTGATCTGCGTCATCCATACCTTTGTCTAGCCTTTTATCTCCTTAATTCTCGTTTAGGTGTTCAGATTAGTGCATTCCAATTTTAGCTCACCTGGTCCAATGTGACATGTAACCTTATACTATGGGGCTGTGTCCATTGTCCATACTTTTCTGTGGTCAAAGAGAATTCCATGTTGTTTAAATGAATGATCTTAGGGACAGGTAAAAAATGTAAAATTGATATTAACTAGGCCAGGGTAGAGCCAATGCCGTGGTTTTCTTAATGGTGGAATAATTTGGTCCTTTGCTCCTCGTCTGGATACCCGAAAGTATGCAGGGGATTGAGTAAAAGTGAGAACATCATAAAATAGATTCAATCACAACAGTCAAAGGAGCAATAGGTAGTTCTTGTAGTAACTTAATATTAACTGTTACCAGAATATAAAGCTCTACATATAACATAGAGAAACTTAAATTATGTTTTTGTATTTATAAAGGAAATGTAGGAAAAGAGGATGCTGTAAGACCACCCTGTGGATATTCCCCAACAAGTGGTGGACGGATTAGTCCACATGGACATAGCACAAACCCTTCAGGTAAATGTCAAGATATCCTCCATACTTACCAGAACCTGACAAGGTCAGCAGTGTCTGGTATAACTGGCACACAATTTATTGATATCTTGCTGTTATCTTTTTTTCAGCATTGTAAATATTTATGGTTGTGTGTTTTAATTGTCCAAATCAAAACAAAAACACAGAATAGAAACAACGATTGCTATGACGGAACAAATTTTATGTTGCCCTTTTTTTTTCGCGCGTTATATTTGTTTACAATATAAATTTTCAGATGATGGTGATGATTCTGATGATCAAGGCCCTTCTGCAAACCACTTGATTTTAGCAAGCCATCATTCCCATGATAAGTCTACTCGTCTCCTAGAGGACCAGAATTCCCATGGTATGATATCTTTTAATTAAGCCTTGTAAGATTGTAGACAGACATCAGTCATTCTTGTGAGACAGCACCATTTATTGTTCATTTGTTAAAATCCCTGGCAATACAAATGTCACTTTTATGAAAATTCAAAATTGTGTACAGATTTGTGACCTATAGGTGTTGCTTTGGACTTCTCTTTGAACTGGGAGGTTTTCTGTCAGTATCCAAAAATGACATTTTGCTGCTTATTTCAATTGTTTGTCATTTAATTGGTAATATAAATTTGCAGATGATGCTGACAATCAACCCACAGCTGCATATCATATGACTGTTCCAAGCCATTGTACCCAGGATGCTTCTAGTCACCTGCTGGAAGAGGTGTCAATGACTCGAAAACTGGAACCAAATGAAGCAAAGATGGAAGGTCAGCATTTTGGAAATAGGGAAGAGAAACCTAATTATGATATAACAGTGACCAACCAGAGCTCTGAGAATATCGCCAACACAATAATGGGGAATAACGATCTATCTCCGGAGAAATCCACCAACGGCAATGTCCCTAGGAACATAGCACAACCAAACCAAGATTTAGGAAGTAACGGAAGGCAAAATTCAGAAGAGGAAAAGGTTACTTATGCAGAATGTTTTGGAGAGGGAGCGATCACTAACAAACAAAGTTTAGGAGAAGAAGGAATTGCTTACAACCAAATATCAGTGGAAGAAAAGGTTATGAATGAACAGAAGGCATGTCCAATAAAAAGATCTAATACAATTTTGGAAAATACAAGGGTAACATGTAAAAGTCAGACAGGCAAAGACATAAACATGATGTCGGTGGAAGAAAATTACTTTCAGCCAACTCAAGTTTCTGGAAAAAAAATTGATAACATTCCAGAAAAGAAAACGAATCGAGCAGGAAGTCTAGATGACAACTCACAGCAAGATCATTGCCCAGTACTAAGTAATTCAAATAAAGAAAAACAATGTCAGGAAATGACAAGAAGATTGCCTGTTGACACTGACAAAGCAAATGTTAATAGTAAGTATTATTTAGGAAACATTCATTCAGAACAAAATGCACCATCTAATGACACAGGAGATGACCGTGCCAATGAGACTCTTGTGAAACTTCCAAACCATAACATTAACACAAGTATGTCCGGCCATATCACCGCTCTGTCTCAGGACCGGCTTTCTGACACGTTTATGACTGGTATTTCGGAACACGTGCCGTCCCAACAGTATGATGCCATGTCAGTCTTTGGTTCCAGAGATCAAGACGACCCACTGGATTCTTCTTTTTCGAGTGTTAGACTGTTTGCAAGTGAAGGATTTCATTGTCCAACAGCCATTCAAAATGCTAGTCGAGATGAATGGCCAAAGCGACAACCCTTTGAAGACAAAGATGTTCAGTGTTCACCTCAACACATGATTGCAGTGACCAGGAAACCAGATGGACAAACGTTGAACATACAACAAGAAAAGATGCATGTTCGTAGTGATAATATGCATGATGAAGCTGATCCTGTAGGTACTACCACTCCAAAGCCTACAGTCTTGCCTGGATACGGAAAGCAAGGAAATGGAAAATCACAACAAGAGATTCCACCATTGGGTAGGGAGCTTGCAATTGGCATAGCACCAACAGCGGAAACCCGAACTGTTCTGTCAGTACATAATGAAACCAGATCATCACCCAATGGTTCTGGTAATACTGAAAACCATTCGCAGCTTACTGATGACTTCATAGCTTCTGTGGAGCAGGAGGGGACTTGGATCTTTGACTCGTTTTTTCGTGTTTGCAGAGAAACATTCCAAATATTTAAGGAAATGGAGAGCTAACATTATCTTACTAAACATCTTGTGTACAAATATGGCAGCTCATTCTTACTGATCACATGCTTAACGTATAAGATGTACCAGTATTGTATGTCCAAGTATATTCGGAAAGAAGGACAATTTTGTCTCTGCTGATTGCTTTATACGTCATCAAAATCGATATTTGGAATGTAGAGATTGGATGTGTTATTTTGGCCAAATTATTTCAAAAATTTAATAACAATATCTGTGTGCACACTAGTGGTTGTAGGAATGAAATGATCACAGATCACAGTTGACTATCATTTTCAAACGTAAGGTGGTGTTTCCAGTGTATATCCGGTAATAAGCTTATACAGTCAACATAAAGGCATGTACACAGCCCCGGATTGTCTCCTTACGGAGTTACGATACCGCAGCTATGTTGTCAGTAAATGTATTCCACAGCCATCAGTGGTTTAAATCACTGAGAATGTATCTAATGTCAGTAATGTATTCCACAGCCATCAGTGGTTTAAATCACTGAGAATGTATCTGTTGTCAGTAATGTATTCCACAGCCATTAGTGGTTTAAATCACTGAGAATGTATATGTTGTCAGTAAATGTATTCCACAACCATCAGTGGTTTAAATCACTGGGAATGTATATGTTGTCAGTAAATGTATTCCACAACCATCAGTGGTTTAAATCACTGGGAATGTATATGTTGTCAGTAAATGTATTCCACAGCCATCAGTGGTTTAAATCACTGAGAAAGTATCACCAGAGCCAAAAGGTATTGAAGTTGATGTTGAAGTTCTAAAACAACACAATTACAATAGAAGTACCGACCGACAATGTCACTATGTCTCTTAGCGACAACACCAGCCATGACACGCTCAGTGAATTAGAAATGTCCCGAAGATATAAAGCAATAATTCATGCAAAATAGTGTAGGGGTTTTGAATACACCGTAATGCTGGTATTCAATTGTAAATAAGTCAATAAGCCTCAAAGACAATGCTATATACTAAACAGTTTTGGGAGCTATCCTCTCATACCTTGCTTGACAACAAGGTTTTGTAACAGACTACACTGTAATAGTATACAAATAAAATCGGACCTAACCGTTATTTCAGCAGGTTTAGTTTTTATACTTTTTCTTAGCTCCCTTATTGATGTTTCCTTGGATTAATGGTGTTAATATACATTTTTAAGTATTCTGTCACCTTCAAGTATCGCATTTTCAAAAAGATGCATCTAATTATTTAGAATACATAATATAGTCTGTGTGAGATACAGTCAGAAGGGATTATTATATATATATTGAAAATAAATACTCTTATATCACTGAACTAAACACTTCATAACTTCATTGAGTTCGTAAGTATTGATTATGAAGAGTTCTTTTTACACAACCAATAACATTTACTATGTTTCAATGTCCACAAAAATCGATGTCGATTCGACTACACTGTAAGCGTATGTACAAAAGTTGTTATAAATGTACCGAAATGACTCGATTTAGCTACGCTGTGTCATAGATGTGCGAGAGTCTTTGAGCAATCCAACTCAAAAGTTTAAAAGGCGTCTCATAGCCCTTCTGGCAAAATTAAAACAAGAGAGCAAGATTACCGAATGCCAATACAGATATCTGTATCCAACAGCAGAGAACACTCCTAGATTTACTGTACACCCAAGATCTAGAAGCAGGGAAACCAACTGAGGCCTATTTTGGACTACACTGGATCCATTGGTTACAATGTTTCCAGATCATTAGCAGACATTCTTGGATCGCTAGTGGGTAAATCGGAACACCATGTAAAGAATTCGAAACATCTACCGGAAACCATGCCTACAATCATGATTCAGGAAGACGAAGGAATCATTTCACATGATGCTGTCTCTCTCTTTACCAACACACCCATTGACGATGCACTTAGAATCATTCGGAATCGTTTAGAATTAGACAGATGGCGCAAAAACACAAACAACATATTTGAGTTTCCGAAACATGTATCAACAACGCTTCGGCACTGCTCTGGGTAGTCCAGTGTCTCCCATTGTGGCCAATGTGTTCATGGAACAGAAGGATTTGACCACACATATCAACACCATAGATGCCACTAACAACATCAAATTTACACGTGAGGAAGAAACCAACAATGCCCTTCCTAGACACTATCGGTAAAGAGAGAAGACGGATCCATGAAGGTATTGGTCTATAGAAAAAAGACCCATACGGACCAATACCTGAACTTCAAATCTCGCCATCCTTTGCACCAGATGTTAGGCGTCGTACGCACATTGCTCAACAGATAATATAGTCACAGAATAACAGGACAAAACACAAGAGCAGAATCACATCGTTTAGGCAATGAGAACATGTGCATATCCGGAATGGGCCCTAAAGCGGGTACAAAAACAGTGTCAAAGTATGGGGAAGAACAAGAAAAGGCCAATCAAGGATAAGAACAAAACCAAAGGTCAAGTGGTCATCCCGTATAAAAAGGATATATCCGAAACCATCCAGAGGATAATTTGCAGTCACGGCATAGCAACAGCCGTGATGCCCCACAAGACGCTTCGCAATATCCTAGTACACCCTAAAGATAAAACACCTAAAGAAAACGTCGCAGAATGCGTATACAATACCGGATGCAAAAACTGCGATGCATCGTATATTGAAGAGACTGGAAGGCAATTTGGGGTCCGCCTTGGTGAACACCGGAAAGATGCGGAAACCCAAGAAGGTAGGAAATTCACCAGATCAGAAAGGAAGCAGTCGGAGTCCCAGATAAATAAATCGGCAATCACAGACCGTGCCACACAGAAAAATCATGTGATTGATTTGGACAGAGATAGCAATCTGTTCAAGCGGCAGATAAAGGAAGCCATCTGGATACACCGCAATGGGCCAGTTCTGAATCGAGAGGAAGGGGCTCAAAGACTCGCACATCTATGACCAAGTATTTAACAAAACGTAGCTGAATCGAGTCATTTCGTTACATATATAACAACTATTGCATATACGCTTACAGCGTAGCCCAAACCACATCGATTCTAGTGGACATCTCATACACATTTTACACCTTTGTGTGCATACGCTTCACTGGCCATTTGTCTAATGAAGGTGACAATGTACATATCGTTTTTTAGATAGATGTTTCCGTACCTCATATTTCTAGTGATTTTTTTCTGCTGTAATTATTCCACAAGACGGACTTGAGGTTATATAACTATATTGAGATTACTTTTTGCCAAAAACTATTGTAATATGTTACATTTAACGTTACGCATGATCTTTGCTTAGCCATGATAGTAAGGAACGACAACTCTGGGTAGTTTACTACCAGGTTTGATGGTATGCCCATCATATAAACTCTATATGTAGACTTTATAAGACTATTGATATATAAATCATTACATGATTTTGTGTGTGAGCGCATGTGCGTGTGCCCTGGGTTGCATTTTTGTTTGTTTATCATGTTTTCCACATAAGAGATTAACTTTTTTACCCACACATATGCTATCACAGTAGTTGCACAATAAACTAACGCTTTTGTTATTTTATCATATTTTACATGTAAAGATTGACTATTGATTTATGTATAAAGGCTTTAAAATGCTTGTGCACGCTTATATCTTTTTATCGTGCGTTTCTTCACCTATTCGCAGTTATGATTAACATCCACATTGAAATAAAAACGTTTCACATTAAAGAAAGTCCAATTAGCTAAATTACCTGGTATAAACCCGTTTACTGTACACAGTTTCGTGTTCTACTGTACAAAGTATGGTTATAGTCACAGTGGTACCACGTTGGTCATCGAATGCAGTGTTCTTTTTATTTTAACCAATATTTCAAACCGGCAACTTTTATCTCCGCGCTAAATGCTCCCGGCGGCGTCTAAAAATCGGTCGATAGTGTCAGATAATCTTCCGGCGTCATTACGGTGGCCAAAAAAACCCATAGCTTCGGTGCCTTTTCGGAAATCGGCGCAAATGTGACTAAGATTTAAGCAATGAATGTTTTAGAAAATGTTGTGATGGTCCTATAACACACATTGCTATTGATGACAAACTTAAGAAAGCCTATAGGGATTTATGTAGTCCGAATTATTCTGACGTTTTATCAACTTTTTTTCATATCGGTCTGTCGTCGATTAACGTCAGAACTCCGGCCCTCTATAATATGCGGGAAATATGCGACCCGTGCCCGGAGCGCACTTCAAACTGATATTTTAGAAACAAATCGTCACTTTCACACACATGTCGCACATGGATCGAAAGATAGATAACCATGGTAACCAACCATCTATTATTAAAGTCGCTCTATTTTGTCTGGCGAATTCATGCAGAAATGTATTATCATGACTGAGACATAGTAGGTTTAACATCACTACTAACATCAGAGTAGTGTATAAGGAAGGATCATATTGTTCCAGTTTGGAGGAGGAACATTTTTAGAGTCTTGACATCCAAAGGCATTCCAATGTGCACAATTTCTAGCCATTTTTTCTCTCCTGAGTTTGCCCTTTTCACATGGCCATGGCTATGGAAGAATGGAGATGATTCATTCTGAAACTCTGATGACAGTTTTTTTTCCGTAAACAACAAGAATTTGTATTTCATTAATCACACAGAACTGGAAATATACATCACAGTTCCTTTTCATCCGCTTCACATCCTGAAATGTATATACAAAATAACATTAATTGTCACTCCACTTCCTAACACTGTGATGATAAACATTCCATGTTCAATTTCACGATGATTCGTTACACAAGAGTCTGCTCTTGTTGTTGAATAAGTACCAACATTGTCTAGATAGATACATCTTTTGACTAATAAATACCTTTGCCAGAGCCTGTTCTAAGTACCAAGGTTTTATCGATAAATAACCCCGAGATATCTCAGCCAAAGAGTTTTTAGGTAATAGGGTTTTCGGGAAAGTTTCATCCTGTTTACCAATACATTCTTAGACAGAACATTTTTAAGTAACGCGGCTTTCCGGTAAAACACATCTTTTGAACAATTAGCATCAGAGCGTTTTCTAAGTAATAGTGTTTTCTGGATAGATATACCTTCTTTTACTAATAAACATCTTACCCAGGGTTAGTCCCGTTTTGTCCCTGTCCTTCTTTAATGTGTTTTTCAGAATGATCCAAAGATGAACGATGTAGCTGGGGAATTTTATTTCTAATACTTTGAAAAGGTTAAAAGGCGTCTCTTACATAAAACCCAGCAGCGTTTACCTGTCAGCTCTAGTGATGTCTGTCTGCATTCAAATCTAGATTTCGCGTTAGGAGGATAAACAAAAATAAAATGTATGTTCTGATCAAAGTAGAATTTGACAAGAACACATTAAAACATATATTTTTATTACAGTTTCGGGTAAATGAAACTGAAGGCGTTCGCTGGCGTGTGAAACACGACAATCCTCTGCAGTAATCCGGTACAAAAACTAGATTATTACTTACTTATTACGTATCTGCTCTACTGTACAGTATTAGTTAAATAGATAATAGGCAGGTATCATGAACACATAACGTCTACTTGGACATCATATTTATTGTTTCCCGAGCCGAAGGAAGGTAATATAAACGCATTGGTCCTTCTTAAAACCTATATAAAGATTTTGTTGTACTCCAAAACAAATTTGATCTAACAAAAATACAATAACCAATTTCAAATTGATGGTGTGACATGGGAACATCTGTGCCAAGATGGCGACAGAAAACTAAATAATATACATGCTAGACTGAGATATCGGTGTTGTTCTCTCAAATACGATCTTTCGTGGTTGATTTGTGTTTCGGTGTACACCAAGTCTAGCAACAACATTTTGGGCAGCACCAGCCTGAATCTTTCCAAACGCTTGATTGCGATCAGTTTCGCTCACTCCAGACGTAGCTTACCAAACACGTCCACCAGGAATTTTATCGCCAGTCACGTTTACAGAGCTTTAAAAAAGGTACATACGTCAAGAAGAGTGAATTCATGTTAATCTCTTGTTAATTATATTGTAACCTAGGGATTCAACATCGTTTCAAATTACACAGCTTCCGTTTACGTCATTAAGAATAAATGTGATTCAAATACACTTGAGATTTGGGAAGCACAGCCGAATCATGTAACTTAATGTACTGATGCGTTTAAGATCTCCTTCATACTTGTCCTATTAATAATGAGCCCGTGCTGTCTTCAAAGATTCAATAGAGTTATCAATAGAATCTAGCAGATCTCTAGAAACGCAATGGCCGATAAGCGGCGTTAAACGAAGGGTAGCGTTCACTCACGTTCGACGACCGTGACGTCATCTAAATCTTCCCGTACGACTCTGACAAACTCAGACATTGACGACACCCTCTTCATCACCGAATCATAAGACAAGCTTATACAGTCTATCAAATTTCCTCCGCAAACACCAATTAATACAACAGCAAGTAGACATGTACAGGAAGGAACGACAAAACATATCAAACAACA